TGAAGGGGGGGGGCGGGGGCGGGAAGGGAGGGAGGACGCCAGGGGCGAAGGGAGCAGGCCGAGGCAGGCCGAGGCAGGGGAGCCTGGGTGTGTGGGAAGACGCACACGCGCAGGCGCACGCCGAACACCAGCTCCGCGATCATGGCAATGCCGGAGAGCGCCGTGCCGAGGGAGTAAAAGTGCCGCTCATCCGAGGAGAGCCCCTGGCCGGCGGCCTGCAGCTCGCGGACCTGCTGCGCTGTGTCCAGGTACCGGGCCAGCGGCAGGTCCCAGAAGTTGATGGAGTCGACGGGCAGCGAGGCCTCGGGCGCGGGGGGCGACTTGGACCGGGGGGAGGTGTTGAACCGGGCGGAGTGGCCCTGCAGCAGGCCGGCCAGGCGGCTGGTGTGCTTCCGAGCCTCGGGAGACAGGCGCTCGCCCAGGCTGCGCAGGAAGACCGCGATGAAGTCCGGCGACCGGACAATGCGACTGGCGCTGCCGATGATGGTGAGATCGGCAAAGCTGTCATACCCGAGGGCCTGGGCAAACTTGTGCCTGAGGGCGCCAAGGGGGAAGCAGGGGTGGGGGGGAAGGGGGGGAAGTCAGCCGGGTAAGGGCAAACGGGAGAGCGGCGCCGGGGGCCATGTCGGCCGAGCGGGGGGCCGAAGGTGGGCGAGCCTGGCGCGTTGACAAGTGAACCAGGGGGCCGGGGGCCGGGGGGCAAGGACACGCACCGGCTCTCGATCAGGCGCATGAGTGCGCGATGTGGCTCGCCGGAGAGACCACGAGCGCCGGCCAGCTGCCTGTAGATGGATGTCCGGGTCTCGGCGCAGGTGATGGACGCCATGAAGGAGTCCGAGAGGATGGTGTTCAGCGGCAGGTCAACCAGCCGGTGGCCGCTCGTGGTGGGGGAGGTCAGAGGGGGCCCGAGGATGTGGCTGAACCGGGAGTATTGCTGTGGGGTTCGAGCAGGGTGCATGTGTGTGTGTGTGTGTGTGTGTGTGTGTGTGTGTGTGTGTGTGTGTGTGTGTGTGTGTGCGTGTGTGCGTGTGTGTGTGCGTGTGCGTGTGTGCGTGTGTGTGTGTGTGTGCGTTGTGGGACGGTTGGAGGGGCAGCGGGAGATGCGCGTGGTCGTGAGCCCAGTAGGGGGGGGGGGAGGGAGGAAAGGGCGTACATGGCGCGCACGCATGGCGCGGCGCCATGGCAGGGGCTTTTGGTGAGATACATGTGGGCGCGACCGGCGACCCGGGGGGGGCGGGGGGGGGACCCCACAGAAAGGCCGGCAGAAGGAAGAAAGAGGGAAGGGCAAAGGCCAAGGGAGGGAGGCTGCCCCCCGGGCGCACCTGATCCGTCAGTCGGACATTGACGCGGCCCTCCATGAGGGCGCGGCTGAACCACATGCCGGCCGAGAGGACGTCGCTGCTGAGGCCGACCAGGCGCTCGGCGATGGCCGGATCATCGATGGCCACCCCGCCGGCGCGGTATTCGTAGGCATACGAGTGGGCCACGGCCTGGAACTCGCTGTCCAGCAGGTCGAAGACGCGCTGGCGCGGGGCCGCGGGAAGCTGGCCCGCGGCCGCGGCATCCGGCTCCAGGGTCAGGCGCGAGGAGATGGTCCGGAAGTCGGCCGGGTCGGGCACGACGCCCACCTCGGCGAAGACATTGGCAAAGAGCGCCCGGCACAGGTCGAGGTCGGTGTTGAGGCGCTGGATGAAGTTGTTGAGGTCCATGGCCGAGTCCGAGGCCAGGGACCGGTCCTCGAAGTTGGGCAGGGTATTGCGCGCGGCCTCCATCGGATCGGACACCAGGCACAGGCAGTCGGACATGCGGTCGTGCAGCTGCAGGACATGGTAGGCGCGGGTGAGCTGGGCCTGGCGCAGGGCGGCGGCCGGGTCGGCCCCGGAGGCGGTGGCCTCGGCCGCCACCTGTGCCAGGAAGCCGGCCGTGGCCTCGGGCGAGTACTCGGCCTTGAGCAGGTCCAGGGTGTGCTGCACGGTGTCCAGGACCGCCTGGACCAGGCGGTCGAAGCCCAGCATCTCGGACGCCGGCGGCCCGGGGGCGTGCGACGGGGGGCTGCCCCGCCGGGCCGAGGGCAGGCTCAGCCCGGCCAGGGCCTGGTGCATGACCTGCAGGTGGGCCACTTCGGCCGGGCCCGGCGGCCGCAGCGACCGGAAGTAGTGGTTGCTGTCCAGCGAGCGGGCCAGGGTGTTCCACTGGGCCGGGGCCGGGGCCGGGGCCGCGCCATCCCGGCGGGGGTGGTCCACCCGGCGGAGGCGATCCGTCAGGTCGAAGAAGCCCACCGTCGGCAGGCCGGCGGCATTGGTGCGATTGGCCCGGCGGAAGGCCCCGGAGTCGATGTCATGGCGAATGCGCACGGCCGAGGCCGGCGGCCGGGGCAGGCCCCGCAGCCACGCCGCGTCCGAGTCCGCGGACTTGTCGGCCGGGTTGGCGGCCGAGGCGAAGGCGCGCCACGTCGCCCGGAGGAGGTGGGCCTGCGGCTGCGGCTGCGGCTGGTGGCGGGGGTAGAGCAACCGGCCCGGCCGCCGGGCGGCGCCCTGCCACTGGTGGCAG